TGAGATAAATGTTTTTGAAATGATAAGACACGACCTGAATTAAAGAGGCCACATATGGGAATGTAATGGTAATTGTAGAAATGATTTTCAGGGTACCTTGGATAAAAAAGGAGTCTATTTTGGTTTTTTTCTTCGAGTTGTTTGGTTCATGATGATTTTGTTCCTCAACTCTAAAAGGCTCATCTTTAATATGGTTCTCAAATTTAAAAATTGAGTTGGAAATTTCTATACTTGTGTTTAGTGGCAAGCGTTAAAAATAGGATTTATAATTATTAACAAAGATTGATGTTATGTCTTCTATCGGAAAAACAAATTGGGCATGTGTTAAATGAATTTAGATTAATTGAAGGTTTGCGGGAATATAATGCTTTGATTTTTATACGTCATTTTTGTATATTTTGTTGATTGGGACATTTTCAGTTAAGTTATTGATCCGATCCATTTGGCAACCATATTTGCTTTGTACTTTTGGTTTAACCAAAAGAAATGCATGAATTCAATCATACATTTTTAAAACAAAGTTCAAACTCGTTACACATATAAATACAAATACACATACAAACTCTCTACACATATAAATACAAAATAAAAAGCCATATGTATATAAAAAAAATACATATAGACTACCTTTAAGAAAAATACATACACATACATATACATATCATGTAATGGATTAAATTGTACCTTTTTAAAACAAAGTTTCAAGTTTCTACAAATATAAATATGGTAGATAAATTTGCTTCTAAAATTTGAGGCTTTTTTTTGAAATTTTTGAAAGCAAAGCTCAATTTTACCTAACATGCTTCAGCCCACAATAGAAAAAAGGCCTTATAATTATATATATATATATATATATATATATATATATATAGATGAAGAAAGATTTCTAGAAGAATCTGATCGAGATCCGACTGACTATTTCTATTCACCAACACGATATCATTATAGTTTTCAATTTTCAAGACCTTTACAACTTTGTGCGACAAACAAGTTCAGAGAAGACTAAGAGATTTGATTGACACTTCAATTTAGATATTTGATGGTCTCAATATCATTTTCGGCTTTCATTTTGATTTCACAAATTAATTCCATGAAAATGTTTTATCTCTTTAATTGTTCTATTGCTATTGTATTATATATGTACTTATGGGTGTAAATCATAATTTGGGAATTTTTTGGGTTATTTGATGTGGGTTTAGGTAGAAATGTTTTTGGTCGGAATTCTTTCTTACCTTGTAAGAGTAAAAATTAAATCAAAATTTGCTTCCAATAATGAGATAAATGTTTTTGAAATGCTAAGACGCAACCTGAATTAAAGAGGCCACATATGAGAAAGTAATGGTAATTGTATAAATTATTTAAGGGTATTTTGGATGAAGAGGTAGTCTATTTTGGTTTTTATTCTATGGTCATACATGATGATTTTGTTCCTTAACCGTAAAAGGATCTTCTTTGACATGGTTCTCGAATTTGAAAATTGAGTTGAAAGTTTCTATACTGTGTTTAGTGGTAAGTGCTAAAAATAGGATTTGTAATTATTGACAAAGACTGATGTTATGTCCTTTATCGAATTTACAAATTGGTTCTGTGTCATGATTAAAAATGAATTCAGATGAATTGAAGGTCTGCGGGGGCATAATGCTTTGATTTTTATACCTCATTTTTGTATATTTTCTTGATTGGGACATTATCGATTACGTTATGGGCACGTTTGGCAACCTTATTTGCTTTGTGCTTTTGCTTTGACTAAAAGAAACACATGGATTCAATTGTACCTTTGTACAATAAAGTTTCAACTCTTTACACATATAAATACATAATAAAAAGCTACATATATATAGAGAAAGATACATATAGACTATCTTTATGACAAATACATACACATACACATACATATCACGAAATGAATTAAATTGTACATTTTTAAAATAAAGTTTCAAGTCTCTACACATATAAATATAGATAGATAAATTTGCTTCTGAAATTTGGGACTTTGTTTAGAATTGTTGAGAGCAAAGCCCAATTTTACCTAACATGCTTTAGTCCATAATAAAAAAAGGCCTTACACTTTTATAAAAGTATATATATATATATATAACGTGAAGAAACATTTATAGAAGAATCTGATTGAGGTCCGATTGACTATTTTTGTTTGCCAACACGATATCACTGTAGTTTTCAATCTTCAAGACCGTTACAACTTTGTGCGATGAGCAAGTTTGAAAAATACTAAGAGAGTTGATTAACACTTCAACTTAGATATTTGATGGTCTTAATCTCGTTTTCGACTTTTGTTTTGATTTAACAAATTAATTCCTTGAAAGTGTTTTCTCTCTTTGATTGTTTGTTTCTTTTGCTACTGTATTTTATATGTACTTATGGGTGTAAAGCATAATTTGAGAATTTTTTGGGTTATTTGATAGGGTTCATGTAGAAATGTTTAGTCAGAATTTTTTCTTTTCTTTTAAGAGCAAAAATTAAATCAAAATTTGCTTCCAATAGTGATATAAAATGTTTTTGAAATGCTAAAACGGAATTTGAATTAAAAGAGGCCATATATGGGAAAGTACTGGTAATTGTAAAATCATTTAAGGGTATCTTGGATTAAGAGTGAGTCTACTTTGGTTTTTTCTTCGAGTTGGTTGGTTTGTGTTATTTGGTCAGACATGATGATTTTGTTCCTCAACCGTAAAAACCTCATATTTGATATGGTTTTTGAATTTTAAAATTGCGTGGAGAGTTTCTATACTTTTGTTTAGTGGTAAGTGCTAAAAATAGGATTTATAATTATTGACAAAGTTTTATGGTACGTCTTTTATCGGATTTACAAATTGGTTCTGCGTCAGGATTAAAAATAAATTCAGATGAATTGAAGGTCCGCGGGGCATAATGCTTTGACTTTTATGCCTCATTTTTGTATATTTTCTTGATTGGGACATTTTTGATTAAGTTATAGGCTCGTTTGGCAACCATAGGTTCTTTGCGCTTTTGTTTTAACTAAAAGAAACACATTGTATATTTTTAAAATAAAGTTTAAATTCTCCACACTTATAAATATAGAATAGAAAACTATAAATACGTAGAAAAATACATATAGACTGCCTTTTAAGAAAAATACATACACATACACATCATGAAATGGATTAAATTGTATCTTTTTAAAACAAAGTTTCAAGTCCCTATACACACACACACACACACATATATAGAAACATACATATGCACGATGTTTCAGAAATACAGAAGATGACAATGAAGCACATTTTTCGCTAGAAAAAACAAAGAGGAAGAGGAATTAGTCTGAAAATATATTATGCTGCGTTTGGTATGCATGAATGGAATGGAATGGAAGTGGGAATGGAATGCAAGGGCCATTGTTTGATTGTAAATATGAAATGTGTAGGAATAGAATGATAATAACCATTTTAGTGTTTTGTTTGACCAATTTAAAATTTAGAATGGAATAAATTTCTAATTGAATTCTCCAAAATATCTCTCTTGATAACAATAAATTAAATTAACAAAATGAGATTCTCTAATAATTTTTAAAAAATAAATGGTGGTAGTGGCGGTGGTGTTGGATGGCGACGGTGGTGGCAATGGTGGAAAGTGGCAGCAGCGGTGGTGGTAGAAGGCGGTGTGGTGGTTGTGGTGGAAGGAGATAACGGTGTGACTACGGTGGTGGTGGAAGGCAGTGGAGGTGGCAGTGATGGTGGTGGAAGGCAGTGGAGGTGGCAATGATGATGGTGGAAAGTGGTTACGATAGTGGTGGTGGAAGACGGTGACGGTGGTTAAAGGTGGTGGTGGAAAATGGTGGTGGTGGTGTAGGGTGGTAGCGGTGGCGGTGGCAGTGGTGAAAGGCTATGGCGGCGGTGGTGAAAGGCAATGGCAATGGAGGTGGGGGCGGTAGAGGTGGGGGCGGTAGCGGTAGTGAAAAGCGATGGTGGTGGTTACAACAAATAGTGGTGGTAGTGGCGGTGAAAGGCGGTGACGGTGGAGGTGGTGGAAAGTGGTGGGGCGATGGTGAAAATCGATGGTGGTGGAAGGTGGCGGCGGCGGCGATGATGGTGGTGAAAAGCGAAGGTGGTTTTGGTGGAAGATAATTGTGGTTTTTGGACTTTGAACATTAGGATTTTTCGGGAAGTCTATTTTTTAAAAAAAAAATTATTTTGGGAATAGAATGGTCGTTTAGTTGTGGAATGGATTTTCATTCCCAAAAATGAATTTTCATTCCAATAGAATGACTATTTTTACTTTAAATTGCGTGTCAAACAAATGAATGATTGGAATGTTCGTACACATCAAAAGTAACACAAAGGAATACAACTAATTGGGAAATTAAGTTCAAATCAAAAGCCCCACCACATTGGGTTGTCCATTTGAACTCAGATTCACCAAAACTCAACTTAGCACGATAAAACCCTATCATAAATGTATAAAAAATATATTCAAGATAACTGCAGCACATATTAAAACACAAAGTCCACTCACACTGGCAAACAAAGTTCAAATCGAAGACCCACCTAACACAGTGGGTTGCCATTTGAACTAATATAAACAAAATTTTAACAAAAAAAAGAAAAAAAAAAAAAAAAAACCAGTATTCACGGAGAAGCAAAATAAATCACATCAAAGAAAGAAACCCCTTATTTAAGAACTAGGGTTTCCAGATCGGTAAAGTAAGACGATAAATTTCAAAAGAAAAAAAAAAAACCATCAAGAGGAAAAAGAAGAACTAGTGCTCATGATGTTGTCTTTACACCAAATTTTGGGGTTCGTTTTTGGGAAGCGTTGAAAGCAAAAGCCCAAATTTTCCGAGGTTCAGCCCACAAATCAGCTACAGTAGAATGGCCCGAAGCACAGAAAGCACACAGCTGCAGCACATATTAAAACACAAAGTCCACTCACACTGGCAAACAAAGTTCAAATCGAAGACCCACCTAACACAGTGGGTTGCCATTTGAACTAATATAAACAAAATTTTAACAAAAAAAAGAAAAAAAAAAAAAAAAAACCAGTATTCACGGAGAAGCAAAATAAATCACATCAAAGAAAGAAACCCCTTATTTAAGAACTAGGGTTTCCAGATCGGTAAAGTAAGACGATAAATTTCAAAAGAAAAAAAAAAAACCATCAAGAGGAAAAAGAAGAACTAGTGCTCATGATGTTGTCTTTACACCAAATTTTGGGGTTCGTTTTTGGGAAGCGTTGAAAGCAAAAGCCCAAATTTTCCGAGGTTCAGCCCACAAATCAGCTACAGTAGAATGGCCCGAAGCACAGAAAGCACACAGTAAAGTAAAGTAAAAAGGCATCTATCCATCCGCCAAACAGGCCCTATGGTAATGCGTTTGTTTCTATTTGCAGTGGACTGAAGGAGCGATCGTAAATTGTGATGCTGAATGTTGTTGGTTGCAGTGGGTGGGTTAGGGATGTTGAATTCTGGTGCTGCCATGGATGATATGAACTTAATTCAGCAGGCGCAGAGGCATCATCATCATCACCTGGTGGTTAGGGAGCTCGGAGAAGAGATTGATTTGGAAATCGGGGCTGGGGATGATGACCCTTCATCCTTTGCTAGCACCCCTCTTATTGGTGGCCCACCACCGCGAGAACCGTCGTCTGTAGAAGTAGAAGATCATGACGAGAGCAAGCATATGGTGTTGGTTTCTCAACTCTCCGGCGAAGATCAAGATTTGTCGAAGCAACAGCCTGCGAAAAGGAAGAAGAAGGTAGTGAAAAGATGGAGAGAGGAATGGGCTGATACCTATAAATGGGCATATGTTGATGTGAAGGAAGGGACGGCGAGGATATTCTGCTCTGTCTGTAGAGAATATGGTAGGAAGCATAGAAGAAATCCTTATGGGAACGAAGGCAGTAGGAATATGCAGATGAGTGCTTTAGAAGAACATAACAATAGTTTGCTTCACAAAGAGGCTCTTCGTCTCCAGATGGCTTCAAAAGACAAGATTATTCTTGATAAACCCATTTACGTTAAAGGTTAGTTTAATAAATTTGTTTTGTGCTTCATGCTTGCTTCTACTGTTTACATGGATCCATATACTGTAGTAAACAAAATTGATAAATTGACTTCTCAACACTTACCTTTTGAGCTTCATCAAGTTAGAGAATTATTAGGGCTGCTGAAATTTCCTCTATGGTTATCTTAATTTCATGGAGAAAACTACAACTGCATTAAATACACACCTTTTCTTTCTATATTCTAATGTTGGGTTTTTTTTATCTGCAAATGAATGCTTGTTTTGTAATATGGATACGATCGGGGACATTGTTTGGTGCAATTCTAAAAGCTTGAGCTTGAGGGTAGTCACTTTCCTCTTGGTACCCTCCCTTGGGTAATTGGTTTTAATATGGAATATGTTCGATAATAGTTCATTTGGATACGTTAATTAATTGGTCCTAATGAATTTGGATGCTTGCTCACATATTTTGCAACTTCCTTGTAATTAAATTGTGTAATCTAAATTGTAGCACTTATGTCAAAAACGGCTGGATCAATTGTTGAAGCTGCGCTGAAAAGGGATCCACATGAAATTGAATTCATACAGTCGGTTCAAGAAGCGGTTCATGCTTTAGAAAGAGTGATCACCAAAAATTCTAAGTGAGTGTTGCCACAAGGTTGAGCTATATTTATCCCGGATTTCTTCATTTAAAGAAAAACATGTTTGCAGTGAACTTTATTAAAATCTTATCAAGGGGCTCCGTAATGTTTCAGTTACGTCAACATCATGGAGCGCTTGTTAGAACCTGAGCGTATGATTCTTTTCCGAGTTCCTTGGGTTGATGATAGGGGTGAGACACATGTCAATCGAGGCTTTCGTGTTCAATTCAACCAGGCTTTGGGTCCATGTAGGGGTGGTCTACGTTTCCATCCATCAATGAACTTGAGTGTTGCAAAGTTTCTGGGTTTTGAACAGGTACCATTATCATTTATGTTGTTATTTTTCCCCACATTTTCCTATGTTTCATTGTCCAGACTTATGCCCAAAAAAAATTTCGCTTGGTTTTCCTTCAACGATTGTCTCATGCTAATTCTGCCTGTAAAAGGTCCTAGAATAGTTTTGGACCAAAGATCGATTAACTTTGTTTTGTTTCAACAAAAATTGAAGCAGGTGTTGCCTTGGTTGCATCGTCTTATATTTGTATGTTTATATATTTCACTTGGGAGTTCTTCTTTTATTCTTGTCAGTGGTTTGTTTGTATAGGCATGAGGAAGCAAATTTGTTTATATGACAAGCTATATAGTAAAAATTTATCACTCTACTTATGGGTTAGTTGGCTGTCGAACCACCTGAAAGTGAAATGATTTTTATTGGTCTTGATCACATTTGAAAATTTGTTCTGAAAATATAACTAAAAGAAACTTAACATAGCTATATCTATACTATTTTAGCAATGGGCTATATCATTTGGATTCTTTTTCCTCACCATCCTTCATTTTTCAGATGGTATCCTCAAAATGACGTGATAAAAGAAACTAGTCTTATACATTGACCTATATTTAAAAAGGTTAATTTTTTGAGAGATGTGATCTCATTTATCATATATGGCTCTTTCCCCTATTATAAGTTGGCGAGTCAGACATTATGACATCCTATGTTCAATACTTCTTGATCATTTACAAGGAATTAACTTTTATCTACTTTGAAATTGGGTAGAAAAACAAGTAACTCATGTATTCTTTTTGTGAAACTGATAAAATTACCACTATTCTTGTCACTCTATTATCTTTTATACTACTTCAACACTGGACATCTGTGGAAGAATCTACTTCACAGATTGATGTGTAAACAAACTAGAATAAAGAAATTGGATGGAGAATATGAAGAGATGTCTTTCCGTTATGAACCTTACCATTTTTTTTTATAAATATGTATTATAAAGCGTTCAGAAGGGGAATGCATCCTGAAAACTACACAATGGTTTTTAACATTACCATGAATCTACAAGAGAAAAAGGCTAAATGTAGATTTTCAGTTATAAAACTTACATATTCTCAGTGTTGAGAGTCTTGTGACCCCATGTCAAAATTTTTGAGGTGGTGTTGTGCTTACTCATATTTGGAGTGTATCTCGAAACTTGCCACAACATGCGGATTCTTCAGAGAGCTTATGCCAACAAATACTCTTGATAGCTCTTTTCCTTATTAAAATATGGGTGAAATACTCTATAGAGTTATTCTGGATGATATCATTTCGTAGTCTCAGAATGCTTTTATAGGTGGGCGTCAGATTCTTGATTCAGCTCTTATTGCTAGTGAATGTGTGGACACGAGGTTGAGGAGTGGTGTCCCAGGGGTTCTTTGCAAGCTTGATGTTGAGAAAGCTCATGATCATGTGAGCTGGAAGTTCTTGTTGTACTTGATGGAGAGAATGGGTTTTGGGGATAAATGGAGGAGTTGGATTGCGGCCTGCATATCTTCAGCCAGATTTTTGGTGATGGTTAATGGGTCTCCGACCGGTTTCTTTGGTAGCTCGGGTGGTTTGCGCCAGGGGTATCCCTTGTCTCCTTTCCTGTTCATTATTGTTATGGAGGCTCTTAGTAGGTTGATGGGGAGGGTGGTGGAGTTGGGTTTTGTCAAGGGGTTCATGATGGGTGGGGGTGATGCTCATCATATGGAGATATCTCATTTATTGTTTGCGGATGACACGTTGGTGTTTTGTGAGGCTGAGGTGTCCCGGATGAGGTACCTGAGATCAGTGTTGATTTGTTTTCAGGTAGTTTCAGGCTTGAAAGTGAATGTAGGGAAGAGTGCCTTGATTCCAGCGGGGGAGATGCAGAATATTGGTGAGTTAGCTTCTGTGCTTGGATGTGGAATCAGTAGCTTTCCGATTACATACTTGGGGCTACCTTTGGGAGTTTCTTCGAGGACTGTGGGTGTTTGGGATCCGGTGGTTGAGAGGGTTCAGAGGAGACTTGTAGGGTGGAAGAAGAAGTACTTATCGAAAGGTGGGAAGGTCATTCTTTTGAAAAGCACGCTGTCAAGCCTCCCTACTTATTTTTTATCCCTCTTCTAGATTCCATCTGGCTTCAGAGGAATTTTCTATGGGGTGGTTTACAAGGAGAATTTAAGTATCACCTTGTTCGTTGGGAGCAGGTTTGTAGGCTGATTCAGGCCGGAGGCCTAGGGATGAGGAGGTTGGTGCCATTTAACAGGGCTCTCCTTGGTAAGTGGTTGTGGATATTTGAAGTGGAACGCCATAGGTTGTGGAGGAGGGTAAATTTGTGCAGGTTTGGGGAAGAAATGGGGGGTTGTGCTCGTGTTTGGTGAGGATTCCTGTTGGTGTCGGCGTTTGGAAATCTATTAGGATAGGATGGAATGAGTTCTCTAAACACAACAGATTCAGAGTTCAGGAGGGGAGGGACGTGAGGTTTTGGGAGGATATTTGGTGTGGTGATTATACCCTTGCTTGTTTATTTCCCAGATTGTTTAGGATTGTTGTTGATAGGCATGCCTTTGTTGCTGACTGCTATCGGCTTGATAACGGGAAGTTGACTTGGGATGTGCGGTTTGTGAGAGTTGTTTAGGATTGGGAGTTGGACGACATTTGCGGGTTGTTAGATAGTTTGTATCGGCACAAGATCCGTGGCAGAGATGAGATTTGCTTGTTTAGGTGCCTGCTTCTTGGGGAATGTTTGAAGTGAGATCATTTTTCCGATGCCTCTCAGATACTACAGGGATTATGTTTTCGTGGAAAACAGTGTGGAGATCTAAGGTGCCGCTCAAAGTGGCGTTCTTTACTTGGATAGTGGTGTCGAGCAAGATCTTGACGCTTGACAATTTGAGGAGGTGAAGACAAATCACTGTGAACTGGTGTTGTATGTGTAAGTGCAATGGGGAATCGGTGGATTATCTTCTTTTGCATTATCTAGTGGCTTTGGATTGTTGGTGTCTTTTGCTAGGATTGTTTGGGGTTTCGTGGGTAATGCCTAGATCTGCGAGAGGATTGATGGAGGCTTGGAGAGGGTGCTATGTGGGAGGTCATGCTAGTGGGTTTTGGAGGATGGAGCCTTTGTGTTTATGGTGGTGTTTGTAGAGGGAGAGGAATAATAGATCCTTTGAAGGAAAGGATTCCTCGATTGTTGTTCTTAAGTTAGCTTTTATTACATCGTTATGTTTTTGGGGTTCGGGTAGGCTTTGTTCCTCCCCGGAGGAGATGAATGATTTTATTTTGTCTTTGGGACCATAGGATCCCTTTGTTGTTTATGGGACACGTTCCCCTTTTGAACGTTTTTTGAATGAATTTGCTTATTTATCAAAAAAAAAAAAAAAAAACTATATAGAGTTATTCCAAATGCTATTATAAACTACTATAAACTATAGAAACCGTTAAATTTGGATGCAAAAATAAGAAATGCAAATAGGAAAAGGGAAGAGAGAAATATGGAAAACATTGGCATATACATGGTTCGGCACTAAGGCCTACATCCATGGACAAAGTGCAAGGGCTACATTTTTATTATTCAGATCTATCTATTGCTTAAGTGCAAGGAGCCTATATATAAGCATGGTAAAGATAAGAATATATGGAAGGTGTACAATAGTTAAAGGAGGCACCATGATTGGTGGACGATTTTGCTCCACTGTTATATAGAAATATTTATAATTGGAAGGAAATTGACCGGATCACCATGATTGGTGGAGGATTTTGCTCTATAATTATATAGAAATATTTATATATTTCAACACTCCCCCTTAAGTTGGAGCATGAATATCATGTATGCCCAACTTGCTAAAGAAACGTCTTGAAAGATGATGAGAAGGTGTCTGGAACAAAGCCAGGAAACTGACCAGATCTTGCTGGGAAAATGACTAGATCTTGCGGGGGAAAAAATTTGGAACTCGCTGAGAAAAATGGCCGGAACAATGCCGGGAAAGGCCGGAACAACGCCGGGAAATGGTCGGAACAACGCTGGGAAAGGAATGTGAAGACATAGAGAATATGCTCCATGATAATAATTCCAATACTCAAATTCTAGATGGGATTACAAGAACAACTTGGCTTTGATACCATGTTAAATTTGGATGCGGAAATAAGAAATGCAAATAGGAAAAGGTAAGAGAGAAACATGGAAAACACAGGCATATACATGGTTCGGCACTAAAGCTTACATCCATGGACAAAGAGTCACCAAGGGCTACATTTTTATTATTCAGATCTATCTATTGCTTGAGTACAAGGAGCCTATATATAGGCATGGTAAAGATAAGAATATATGGAAGGTGTACAATAGTCAAAGGAGGCACCATGATTGGTGGATGATTTTGCTCCACCATTATATAGAAATATATATAATTGGAAGGAAATTGACTAGATCACCATGATTGGTGGAGGATTTTGCTCCACAATTATATAGAAATATTTATATATTTCAACAGAAACATTGGAAATGCTCTTATAAACTATATAGACTTATGGATGCTATCAAGTGAAATGTAACAAAATCAGGTGAAAAATATTTTTATACTTCTTATTTAGCTGCCAGAAGGCCCAGAAAATCTTGCTAGAATATAGTTTTCCAGATGGCAAGGAAAACTAAGTCTTATAAGTGCATGACAATGTTTTATTTTCTTCTTTTTTTCAGACTCTAAAGAATGCTTTATCTCCGTACAAGCTAGGAGGGGCAGCTGGTGGTAGTGATTTTGATCCAAAAGGAAAAAGTGACTCTGAGGTAATACCTCCACTCAATAACAAATTGTTTTCTCATTATGAATTTGTAGGGGTTCTATTATTGTTTCTCTTTAATTGTTGGTGACCCCATATTTGCAGATTATGCGCTTTTGTCAGAGTTTTATGAATGAGCTATATCGTTATTTGGGTCCCGATAAGGTAACCGCAAATATATCTATTACTCCATTTGGTTCAGTGGAAAAAAATGTGTAATCTTTAGTATGTCAGATTCTGTAATGTCTATTCTACCTTGGAAAATTTAGGATCTTCCTTCAGAGGATATGGGTGTTGGTACTCGTGAAATGGGTTATTTGTTTGGACAATATCGTCGTCTGGCCGGACATATTCAGGTAACAATTTCTTACTTGTAACTTGAAATTTTCCATTTTATGTATGCTATGTTTGTATGTATTCTATTATAACATCAACTTGTGGCTCAGAGAAAAAGCAAACACAAATATTTGCCAACGTAAACCTGAACTCGTGCACTAGTATAGGGTTAACACCCGCTTCATTCTTTTTGTGAATTTTAAAAGAATAAAATGTCAGTAGGGAAAAATATATTGTCCAATAAATTTTACAGGATGATGTTAAATTTTGACCACAATCATGTCCTTATTAATGGCTTTATTTATTATTTTTATTTTTTTGCGGACTTGGAAGATCCTTAACTTACATGGCTATCATGGCATGATACAAATTCAAACATACCATATGCTAGCTTCGTTGAATGACAAGAAGTTACAATCAGTTGATTTTTTTCCGTTTTGGTTCAAGGTTTAAGCTTTTTATCAAAAGTTATGGAAACTGGATGAAATCTGAGGTGCATCAGCAATTTTTATACTCAACTTCTGGAAGTGTCATCCATAACGTACTTAGGAGGTATATCATATATGGTTTAATCTACTTGGACATTGGAGTTTAATAATTGTGCAACCTGAACTTTATGATCTTTCAAGAAATTTGCCACTGTCGATTTACGTTTCAGGATGGCATTTCAGAATAAACTTGGAATTAATACCTAGGGATAATTTGTGATCATATTAAGCCATGTCACATTGGATAGACAGGAGGTTCAGATATACTTTCTTGTTAGTGCACCATTCAAATTTTGTCGCTGGAAATCTAGTATGAAACTTTGATTTGCTAGCTTTTTCTTCTATTGCTGCTGTTCTGCTTTTTCCCGCTGGAGGGAGGGGTGGGGCTTCTTCTTCTTCTTCTTCTTCTTCTTCTTTTTTTCTTTTCACTTTTGTGGTTGCTTGCCTTTTTGTGTTGTTCTTTTATTTATGGGAACACAAGTTTGAAACTAAGTGTTTCTAGTGCATGCTGAGCATGAAAATAATTACTGTGCTACAGTTGTTATATGTGCTGCTTGGTCACATATGAAATTATGGATTTGGGGATTCAGCTGCTTTTGACCATAGGATTTTATTCTTAATGTTTTCTTACATCAAGATTATTTCAGTAAAATTTTGAACTTTATCTTTATATTCTTCTTGAAGTATGATTTTATGCTCATCAAATTATGCTTGAGAAGCACAGATACATTCTGGAGGGTGAGATGTCTCTTTCATACACGCTGACACTCTTGACACTAGATGGACACCTATAATCACATGTTGGGCATTTTGTGGGCTTGTCCATGATTCGAAAATAAAATTTATTGTTTTAGGCATTTGGTTGGCACATCTGATGTAAGCGGAAGCGATAGATTGTTCACATGGAACGGGTTACTTTGAATCCACAAAGTAAGGTGTTTTGAATCCACAAAACAAGAGATAAATTCATCAAGAATTTTGAAATATTATTGATAAAAGGTTATATTTTGCTCTTGCAATACATGAATATTTATAATAGAGGAAACCTAACACTTGAAGGAAACTAAAAACACAAGGAAACTAATCCTAAAAATAAATTCTCTCTAAAAATTCTGAAAAAAATAGAAAATGAAACCTAATCAATAAAAATTACTAAATATAAAATTTCAAAGCATTTTGACTTCGTTAAAGCCTCGAACAAAAATCCCGAAATATTTGGCACGCCTCCTATAACATAATAAAACGCGATTTCGGAGCCCTAAACGAAGGTTTTCAGCCGAAAACCAACATGGCCCACAAGCTAAAGCTAGTGGGTTTTTCTCATGCATTGTTTACACCCAAAAAAATACTATTGGTTTGTCAAAAAGGGACTTGTCGAACTGTTCAGAATTCTGTCCTACATCAACATCCCAGACACTTCCCAAACCCAACATATGCCTTATGTGGCACAAGGGTGATGCTTCTGAAAATCTTAGAATTAAGATGGGCATACCATAAAATGTCAACTTTTCTTTCATTAAGAAAAATTGACATTATTCACATATTAATCACAAGGAAAAGATGCAAATGACACTTTTTATACATAAGAAAATTATAATTGTAATGACAAAAATATAGTAGGAACTAAAAAATTGATTATACAAGAATATTGCATAACAAGAGTATATTCAACGGACACTTGTACATTAGTTTTGTTCTATAAATTGCTTATTTACCAGAAAAGGCAGTAGTTTATGACTATATATACGCTAAAAATATTTAGAATGTTGCATAATTTCATATTCCACATTATGCTTTTAATGTAGAAATGTAGAATTAGGAAGGTAGTTAAAATTCTATGGTTGTCTTATATAATAGATGCATATGGATGAAGTTATATATGGTTGCAGTGCCCATGTGATTTCTGTATCTTGCTTTTCTACTATTTGACATGCTGGCTTATCTGTATCATATTGTCTGTGTCTTTTCTACTAGGTTACATATTATATTTGCAGTAAGTTGCTGATTACATCAGCATTCTGTGAAAGTGGATTTTCGTTCTTATTGTAAATATGATACAAGTGATGCCGTCTTATATATAGTTATATTGACGTGTAATTCTTTTCTATTTTCATGTATCTCTTACTTATGCAGGGAAGTTTTACAGGACCAAGGATAATCTGGTCTGGTTCTAGCCTTCGAACTGAAGCTACTGGCTATGGACTGGTAAGTAATATCTTGTTTCTTAAGCTCTATGTGTGTGCGTGTGTGGAAAGGCTTTGTTGAATTTATTTATTTAGTTATCTGCTTACCAACGGGCCAGTGGTCTAGCGGTATCAGCCTCTTACTTCCCAAAGGGAGGTTAGGGGTTCAAGTCTCAAAAGAGACAAGTGTGTGTGAGTACCAACTAGGAAAAAAAAAAAATTTAGTTATCTGCTTCTGATTTATACCTTTGTTGGATGCCCGGGTTCTCACAATTATCCTTTATGTGGGCAGGTTTTCTTTGCCCAGCTCATACTTGCAGATATGAATAAAGAACTCAAAGGACTCAGGTCTTTTTCTTAACTTCGAGAGCTTCTAAATGTTTCTGTCAATAGAATTAGTTAAATAATTTTTGCCATCTTGACTAAAAGAATCTTCTTAATTTTTACTCTTCTATGATAATTGTTCTCATTTGTGTGGTACTTGGAAAGTTACATGCTCACTTAAACTTCTATGTACTGCCATATTCATATATATTGGTTAAACTACACTTATAAGTATATATTCGTTAAACTACACTTACCTCTGATGTCTTTGACAATTGCGATTTTCTTCTTGCATTTTTGGTAAATACACCAATCTTGATCTGGCAATCTGATTGTCACGGGGAACACTGTTTTAGGTATTGTCAAATGACCCTTGCACTCCTGTCCCTTGCTTTGGTTATAGTTGTCATTCCTTGCATTGCAGGCTTTGCAGCTTGCACTTCTCCTTTCAGACATCACCCTTGATTAATAGTCGATTTCTTTTTGTTGGTATTCTTCTATACGGGTGGATTCTGATCAAACGCACAAATTATGCTCAAATAAAACTTTGATTTAGATATAAAATGCCACAACAAAATGTTACTGATTTTGAAGATAATTAGGAGGGTGAGATAAGATGGATGACATTGAGTTCAACTGATAGTTATGTGTTGGGGAAGGTTTTGACTTGGGAGATTGTCAAAGTTAATTTCCAGGTTTTATTCACATCATTCCTTTTCGTTGTGTGTGTAGTATTAGAGGTATAGTGGAGGTGCATAGTGGAGGTGATGGTTTTGGAGTTGGATTTTGGTTGAGATTGTGGCTAAGAAGTTGTGTTTCAATAAAGTTGTTCATTATGGTGGTGAGTTTTGAGCTGAATGAAAGTATGCTCTTTGTAGCGTAACAGCCACTACTATGTCTGATAATGGTGCAGCCTTCTACTAATGCTAGCAAAGTGGAGAAAATTTTGATTTGGGTGATTAAATAATGAAGGCTGACATCTGTCCCTTTCATCATGCTAATGTGTTAGGAATCACCTGAATGGTTTGAATTGTACATAACTTATGGTGAAGAGCAACTGGCAATTGCATGGGGTATGACCGCATGAACATTATTACATTTGATTGGTGAAAGGAAAAGAGCCAAATACATTAGATAATGGTTGATCCAAGTATTTTTTTTTTTTTGATAAGTAAGGTTTTATAAAAGGCACTCAAAAGGGGGAGCATTCCCAAAGAAGACAACAGCCGACCAAAATCGACTCTATAGCTTTAAGCTATTCACAAAATCCAAAAGACTATCCATTGAATTACAATCCCGCCCATATACCCAAAAAAATAAATAAGAATATTGTATTTAATAGCCCAAATGGGAGACTCCTCTCCTTCAACGTATCTCCTATTTCTTTCATCATGCTAATTTTTTAGGAATCACCTGAATGGTTTGAATTGTACATAACTTATGGTGAAGAGCAACTGGCAATTGCATGGGGTATGACCGCATGTGTGTTATTACATTTTATTGGGAAAAGGAAAAGAGTCAAATATATTAGATAATGGTTGATCCAAGTATTGTTTTTTTTTGATAAGTAAGGTTTTATAAAAGGCGCTCAAAAGGGGGAGCGTTCCCAAAGAAGACAACAGCCGACCAAAATCGACTCTATAGCTTTAAGCTATCCACAAAATCCAAAAGACTATCCATTGAATTACAATCCCGCCCATATACCCAAAAGGGGAGCGTTCCCAAAGAAGACAACAGCCGACCAAAATAGACTCTATAGCTTTAAGCTATCCACAAAATCCAAAAGACTATCCATTGAATTACAATCCCGCCCATATACCCAAAAGGGGAGCATTCCCAAAGAAGACAACAGCCGACCAAAATCGACTCTATAGCTTTAAGCTATCCACAAAATCCAAAAGACTATCCTTTGAATTACAATCCCGCACATATACCCAAAAAAAAAAAGAAGTAAGAATATTGTATTTAATAGCCCAAATGGGAGACTCCTCTCCTACAAAGTATCTCCTATTTCTTTCGCGCCACAGACCCCACCAAATACAAAGGGGAGTGGCCCTCCAAGCATCTCTGACGACCGTGGATTTTGGGAACACCCATGGAAGACCAAACGCAACCAAAAACATAGCCCAAACATCCCCAGCCACTGAGCAATGAATAAGGAGATGGTTGACAGATTCCCCCATCTTATTGCACATGAAACACCTGTAAACCACACTATGATTTCTTTTTCTAAGGTTATCAATAGTAAGGATGCTTCCCAAGGCGACAGTCCATGCAAAGAATGCCACCCTCAGTGGAGCTTTCGTCCTCCAAGTGGCTTTCCATGAAAACATAAGGCCAGGGCGCTCCAACATGCATTTGTAGAAGGACTTGACCTCGAACACTTCTCTCGGGGTTCCCACCCACAACATCTTGTCCATGCCCACCCCGACCACCACCTGTCTATAAATGAATGCTAGGAAGTCTGTAACCTCCAAAAGTTCCTAATATGAAACTGTCTACAGAACAATGGTTGATTCAAGTATTATAGCCTGTAATTTTAAATTTTTGAGGGAGGTGTATATGCATTGTTAGAAACCTCAAAGAGGTTAGTAAGTATACTCTATTTATTTATTTATTTATTTATTTGGGGGGGGGGGGGGGGGGGGGGGGGGGGTTGGTGGTGTTCTTAACTGTGTCATTTACAAAAGCAATAAAATATACGTAGAATTTTAGTTACTGGTAAATTTATCTTCAAAGTTGTTAATTTTGCCTCGAAGCATTAGCTTGAGTGGTATCTCCTCCACCATTCGAAAGAGGAGATTGAGGGTTCAAGTCCTAGATAGGGCAAAATGGGTTTGTGAGTTTGTTTTACTTATTGGAAAAAAAAAGTGGTTAATTTGCTATCTCTTTTCTGAGCTTCTCCAGATGTGTTGTCAGTGGTTCTGGAAAGATAGCAATGCATGTCCTAGAGAAGCTTCTCGCCTACGGTGCTATTCCCATCACGGTATCAGGTAAGTTTTATACGCCTGATCTAGTAATATCCAGATTTTTCAATTCTTTGGGATATGTTCGCCAGTTATCATATTAACACACAATTGACCAGTTCCATTATTTGTTTTCCTCACTGAAGTGAATTAATGATTTTGTTGGTCGAAACTTGTTAGAAGATTACTTCAAGCATCTTAGTTTGTGCAACTTGAATCAGACATATTAATAATTGATTTGACGTGGCTTCTCTTGGGCATTTGTTTTCAAGAAGTATGTTTTGCGGAAGAATATGATTAACTTATCAGATATGTTCGAGTTAAAATGACTGGAAATTGTTTTGCTTCCTTTGTAATTGAAGCTAGTAGTATAATGTTTTTTAGGTCATTTATGGTGTTTTCTCTTGACAAATATGAAAAATGTGGAACACAGCCATCTGATATGTTACTCTTCCGTCATATGAGGAGTTGTTTTCTCATCATGCATCTGTTTGTGGCGTTTCATTAATTCTTGTTTTGTAGGGACTTTAGGAATGACACTTGTAATCAAGTCCCTACAATGACTAGATAACGTTTATAAATAGTTTGTATAAATGTGTGCCTTTGCCTACTAATGTTGTACAGATTCGAAGGGTTATTTGGTGGACGAGGATGGATTTGATTACATGAAAATATCATTTTTGAGAGATATTAAAGCTCAACAAAGAAGTTTGAGGTTCGTTTGCTTTATCATTATAACAAATTGCACTGTGTAATAATTTTAATTTGTCCTTATTCATTAAGTGACATTTGCAGAGATTATTCAAAGACCTATGCTCGATCGAAGTACTATGATGAAGCAAAACCTTGGAATGAAAGGTGTGATGTCGCATTTCCTTGTGCTTCACAAAATGAAATTGATCAGTCTGATGCCATTAATTTGGTTAATTCAGGTTGTCGTATACTAGTAGAAGGTAGTGGTTCTTGATATGATGCTTGATGGTTTTAGTTCTTTCTATTTTTCATTTCTATTATTACAATTGTTATCATCTTATTGTTAGTAACTATATCACAATATGTCCCTTAGGTTCAAACATGCCCTGTACCCCTGAAGCAGTTGATGTTCTGAGAAAAGCTAATGTTCTCATTGCTCCTGCTATGGCCGCTGGTGCTGGAGGGGTAGGATTTTTCGTTTACCTTTTCTCACCCTTGCATGATATATACCTTTTCAGCTTTCAAGAACAAAACAAAGGAGGAATAATTGTTTATATCCGTGTATATGCATGAATTTATATAATAACGCAACCTGAAAAAATAACTTGTTTGTTTGTTAACTTTTGGTTTTGTGCCAATTCTTCTTGAACATTATGTTACATTTTCCCCAGCTGTCCCTAGTGCATGGATGGTGCTATTTAGGCAGGGGAATTTTTTTTAAAAAAACAAAGATTTGAAATGATGACAGTGGTACATGGATTCTGGTGGGGATAAAGTTCCATGAAATATAAAGGATGGCGTGGGATGTTCGGTTTTGGAGGCTGTTTCAGGATTGGGAGATGGAGGATGCTATAGATTTTTTGGATTTGTTGTATCGTCAGGAGATAGTGGAGGAGACTTCTGACCTTTGCGTTTGGATTCCATCTTCACATGTGCGCTTTGATGTTCGGTCATTTTATCGTGTTGTTTGGTGGATGCTCCTGGATTGTTATTTCCATGGAGGGCCGTTTGGTGAACAAAAACGCCTCTCAAAGTAGCTTTTTTTGCATGGACATCCGTTTTGGGAAAGATCTTGAGCTAGGACAACCTCAGAGAAGAAGACAGATCGTAGTGAATTGGTGTTGTATGTGCAAGAATGATGAGGAAACGGTTGATCATCTTCTTTTACATTGCCCCGTTGCTGAGATTGCTGGCTTAGTTTTTGGGTTTGTTTGGGATTCATTGGGTTATGCCTCGGTCTACCAAAGGCTTGATTGACGCTTGGAGAGGATGTATAGTGGGGGCCCAAGCTTGTGACTCTTGGAGGGCTACTCCTTTGTGTGTCTGGTGGTGTCTATGGCCTGAAAGAAATAGGAGATCATTTGATGGAAAGGAAAATCATATTGGGTTGCTGAAATTCTCCATTCTTAGTGCCCTTTTTTGTTGGGTTCTTGAAAGAAATTGTAAATCCTTGGATGAACTTGTAGAGCTTTTGGATTTGTTGAGGGTTTAGAGGCCCTATTTGGCCTGTGTTGTTTTTGAGGGATGCGCTCCCCTTTTGAACGCTCTTTTATGAATTCTTACTTGTCAAAAAAAAAAATAAAAAAATTGATGGATACAAGATAGTATTAATAAAAATCATGTTATGAGCTGGGGACAATTATATAGTCTGTTTGTATGCACCTAGAATAGAATTAAATGAACAACTTGTGTGACAATAAATGGAAAAGCATCGAATATTTGAAGAAACCTGAGGGAGAGAATATTTATAGGAGAGGTAAATGGCTAAGTAAGAAGTAGTTTGTATTTGTCTGTTTCGATTATATCCTGATTTATCCAAGTAGATATGGATTTTTGTTGGTTTTCTACCAATTTTTTAGTTAATTTATGTGCTAAATCTGTAATAACTTGGCCGCAGGTTGCTGCTGGAGAACTTGAACTGAACCATGAGTGTAATCCAATGCAGTGGTCCCCTGAGGACTTTGAATCTAAATTACAGGTGAGATCTTGTATATTTATTTTCATTCTCATTGGTTTAGCAGTTGGATTTTGTTAAACCTACCAAGTGGCAGATCCCTAAATTTTCAAGGGGCAGCTAACTGGAAAATCTTATATGTCACTTGTATAGCAACAAAGTGGATCCATTCCCACAATTACCATTTTCAACTGTTGTTGTCCTAGAACAAACCAACTCAAGCTGGGACATTGTTTCTTATTTACTTTTTTTGGATTCGACTCCAAATGCAGTTTATTTACTTGGAAGTTTTATTTGGAGGCCCTTAGTGCAATCTACTGAACATACAAGTGGATCTTGACAAATAAATTAATCCTATCTATAAAAAAATTAATAAGCTAATCCATGATTTGTTCCATGGCTGACATGTAAACTGAAATTCTCTCTTGGTATATTGTTAACCTATATTATGTTTTACATTTCGGGAATATTTTGTTTGGATCCTGATGGATTTTCATAATGCTTTCTATTTGTCATGGAGTTGCTTTTTATGTGATCTTTTTTCACTTGTATTTATAAGGAAAATCTTTAGCCAAAATCTTTCCTTTTTCTTTGTGGGGCAGCAAAATTGGATTGAAAATTTTATTCTCCATCCCACCTGGCAGACAAAGGAAAAAAGAAAAAAAGTTCCTGAATAGTTTATTCCAAGAGTAGAAGTTTACTCAAAATGTGAGTCCTGTCTAACCACATGATAATGGCTTCCAACTTTCATTCAGTCACTTAGTGAGTGTCAGCTTGGAACAGATTATATCAATTTAGTATATCTTGTGTTGATACATCTAATTTACTTTAATGATGTTCTTCTTCCAACTTAAAGAAGTAACTTATGCATTAAGTCAAATTGGGATGAAATTGATATAGTTATTATATTTTTATATGTATTTCACGTTAGTAAGGGTAGCTTTGTCTTTTTCTTTATTTTAGTTGGGGTTATTTCTTTATTACTTTAGTCTCTACTTTGCAATTGATTATTCAGTAATACAACACTCATATTTTCCTCTTCTATTCTAATTGCACAAATCTTTATATGGTATGACAGCTTGTTAGTTTCTGGCCCTGAAGATCAGAATCCTTACTAGGCTTTGTTCAACTTTGCATTCAGAATCATCTTCTCTTCTATTCTTCGATTTTTCACAATCCTATTGCGGCAATTGCATCTGTGGTAGGAATCGCATCAGCAATCAGTTCGCATCAGCAATTTCCTAGTTGCAATCTGTTTGCGTCTCTCTTCTTGGTTCTCTTTCTTCTTCTTTGTTCTCAGCAGTGCTGTCTCACAACATAGCATCGATTTTATGTTTCTGTTCGCACCATCTCTTGCATCTCAGCAATCACAAACCCTAAATTTGCAATCACAACTTTGCATCTGCTTCGACTTTGCATCGCAACATTTCAATCACCATGCATCATTACAGCCAACGCAAGCTCGGCAGTTCCAGTTTACGTTCCTGGTCCATCTTCGCACCTCAGTTTGGCTCACGACCTTGACTCACAACAGTTGTCTGCCCCTGTTCTCCTTGGGTTTGCACAGATTTGTTCTCTTTGGCTTTGCATCGCACGGAATTAGCAATTGCATCATTGAAACAGCAACCAGCAACCATAGTGGTTTCATTGCAAACCTTCATTCATTGATCCTCATCTCCATCAATTGCAAATATCACAGCAATTTCAGTCGCATCACATAGGCTTTGGTTGAATATCACCAGTGGACTTTGTTTGAATTTCTCTCTGCCACTTCACCTCCTCTTTGCATTCAAACTTTTTTTGATAAGTGAAGATGTATTAGAAAGCGTTCAAAAGGGAGAATGCATCCCTCAGAAACAACAGAAGACCTAATAGGGCCTCTAAACTCTCAAAGAGTCCAAAAAATCAACGATCTCATCCATGGAATTACAATTTCTTCCAAAAACCTAACAAAAAGAGTACTAATAATAATGGAGAACTTCAACATGCCAAGGTGGCCTTTGCTTGGACGTCAGTACTGGGGAAGATTTTGACTCTAGAATCTCTGTTTGCATCGCAAAGCTCCGTCAACCTTCTTGTTCTCTGTTTTGCATTGCAAAGAACGATCAACCTTGCTGATCTTAAGTTTGCACCAAAGTTGAATTGTCGCATCCTCTTCTCAGCACTTTTTCTAAAGTGACAAGCAAACTGGAACTACTCTTCTACAGCGACTAATCTTTTTGTGGTTTCAGAATTGCATTATGTAATTTCGTGGTTCTAAGACTGTTTGTATACAGACCTGGGCATAATTGGGCAGTAATACTTGGTTGCATTATTGATAAAACAGATTGAACAAATTGTATTTTGTTGATTTATTTTAAAAGATGGTTCAGTGTTCTAAATTAGTAAGGTAATCCATGGGCAACAAGAAGAGACATCACCTGGGGATGCGATATGTCCTAAGTTGTCATGGATTGCTGACCAATTACAGAATGTTCTTTCTACCCATCACAACTGAATACCATTTCAATATCTCCCTCTCTAGGTTTCTTTTCTCTGGCCTCTTCAGGTATATCTCGGACCACTTGACACAAGTGCTACACGCCATATGACTAGTGATTCTTCTTTGTTCACATCTACTTTCTCTCCTCCTTCATCTTTATCAGCTTTTGTTGCCAATGGTATACCTATGTCATTGGTTGGTATTGGAACTATTATTTCTCCTCGTTTATCTCTTCCTGACGTCTATTGCGTTCCTCAGCTTACTTTGAATTTAAATTCTGTTAGCCAATTTTTGATTTTGGATACTCTGTTCATTTTTCTTCCATCGGTTGTACTGTGCAGGATCTTCATGGTAAGAAACTGATTGGGACAGGCTAGGGCTGCAAGTTGGGCTGGCCCAACCCAACCTCAACCCGAATCGGTTGGGTTGGGCCAACCCGAATTGTACTTAACATGGGTTGTGGTTAGAACCCGGATTGAATATTTTCGGGCGGGTTGGGTCGGGTTGACAGGTTGCGTTTTTTTTTTTTTAATATAATTTTTTTTTTTTGAAATATATATATATATATATGTATATTATATATATTTAATTGTATTATTATTAAAAATATATATATTTTTAGGGCAAATCATTTCAGCCTCCCCAATCGCCTCCATCTCTATGTTACAAGACGAATAAATGGAAGTTGGGAAGAAGGGGATAAAGCCTAGGACTAGGTACCAAACACACCTCCATCTCGTTCTCAACTCTATAATTGCCCCCCCCCTCTCTCTCTCTCTCTCTGTGCAACTGCAAACTACAAAATCAACAAGAATCAGAAGTTCAAAACCCATATATTTCAGTTTATCTGTCTGTCTGCAAGAATCAAAAGTTCAAAACCTATTTACCTATATCAAAACCCATATCAGCATATCATTTCAGATTGTTCAAAAAATCAAAACCCATTTCTTTCTGTTTCCATCGCCCGCTGTTCCAGTTCGGGTTCGCCGTTCGCAAGCTTCAGCCACTGTCTCTCAACTCTCAAGCATGCCCCCCTCTCAACTCTCAAGCTTTGCCGTTCGTTTTAGGATTGCAGAGAAGTGCATGGACGGCGGCAGAGAGAGAAAGAAGAGAAATTTTTTTTTTTGGGTTTTGGGTTGGGTTCTGGTTGAGCCCGAGCCCAACCCGAATATGTCTGGGTTTTGACAAAACTCAACCTGAACATGAACCTAATTTGTGAATATAAGTCCCAATTTCAAAACTTCTGGGTTGGGCTGGGTTAGCCCGCCCAAGTTTCAGCCTTAGGACAGGCCATAGAGAGGGAGGAGCTGCATGTTCCAGCAATATTTGCTACTTTTGTTGATTTATCCTCTTTTTGTTTGAGTTCCAAGTCATCTAATTTTTATTTATGGCACTCCCGCCTTGGACATTTTTCTAGTTTTCGTTTACAATATTTAGCTTCCACTAGTGTTTTGGGTAATTTAGATAGGCATGATCATTTTGATTGCAGTGGTTGCAAACTTGCAAAATTTTCTAATTTACCCTTTAATAAGAGTTCAACTATTTATGCGGCACCTTTTGATTTACTTCATTATGACGTGTGGGGACCTGCTCCTATTTCTACTACAGGAGGCTATAGATATTATGTTTCTTTTATTGATGATTATAGTCGATATTGTTGAATTCATCTTATGAAGTGTCGTTCTAAATTCTTTTCTATCTTCAGTGCTTTCGTGCTGTGATCCTCACTCAATATTCTTGTTATCAAATGCTTTAGATGTGATTTAGGTGGGAATATAATTATAGTTCTTTTCTTGATCTGTTGAAATCTAATGGCACTATTCAACAATTTTCCTGTGCAAAATGATGTTGCTGAGCAAAAGCATCGGCACATCATGGAGACTGCACGTTCTCTTTCGTTATCTACTAGTGTTCCTCGCAATTTTTGGGGTGAGGCTGTTCTTCATATAATAAATTGAATCCCAGCTTTTATTACCTACGGTATTTCTCCTTTCGAATGATTGTTTGGTAAGCCTCCTGATTATTTTTCCTTGAAGGTTTTTAGTTGCATTTGTTTTGTTCTCCTCTCCAAAGCCGCTCGTACTAAATTATCTGCACGTTTTGCCATGTGTGTCTTTCTCGGTTATGGAGAAGGCCAAAAGGGGTATCGATGCTATGATCCTATTTCTCAAAAGTTTTATGTACCGCGTCAGGTGGTGTTTCTTAAGCACATTCCTTTCTTTTCTATTCCCTCTAGTCCTAGCACTTTAAGTAAGTTTGATCTTTGTTTATATTGATCCCTTTCCTTGATGACATTTCTAGTAGTCTTCTATTGGTGATGATTTATCTTCTTCTACACCAGAATTTTCCTCCTATCATTCACACTTATGCTCGCAGGAATAGAACAATCCCTTCTGCATGTACATATCCTCTGCCTCCCTCGGCAGGCTCTCCATTAGTTTCTAATGATGTGGATCCTACACCACCTCGTTACCCTCTTAAGTGTCCTGACCCTTCTATTTTTCTAATTCTTATTATTCTACTACTTTCTGTCATTTTTTAG